TGCCGAGCTAAACAAATTCATGCAAATTGTGGTTATCAAGACTAGGCCAAAATTAGGCGCGGCAGGAAAGTTCAGTTATAAAAAAAATTTTCATGTGGTCGAGACTAGGATATTTTCCATGTGACAATGAGCAAAAGCCATTAAAATATCCATGGAATATTCTAAACGAATTAGCGGTTCCATTCATATTAATGAACTGATGGCATATGAGATATTCGTTGGAAAAATTAACATAGTTTTAAAATTTTTAGGTCAAGATTTTTAGGAGAAAACGAAAATTTGTGTCGCGAAAGTGAAAAAAAGAATTGGCAACAGAACTGGCTAACTAAAAATGACAAGGCGTGTTAATTGCCTTACATTAATTTTATAATATGTTTTCAGGTTAAGAAACACACATTTCTGCAGATTGTTCATGGTTATTAAATATCACCATAGTTTCAAAATTTTTAGGTAAAAATTTTTAGGAGAAGATGAAAATTTGTGTTGCGAAAGTGAAAAAAAGAATTGGCAACAGAACTGGCTTTCTTAGAATGACAATGCGTGTTAATTGCCTTATATCTATAATATGTTTTCAGGTTAAGAAACAAACATTATCAATAGATTGTTCACGGTTATTCAATATGTTCAAGTTGAAGAAGATGATAGATAAGGTGTGGAGGGGTAGGGTGGGGTTGCTATAACCCCGGGGGGTTGGGGCTGCACTGGAGTCTGTAAACCTGTTGTGGTTGCAGCGCTAGAAGCGTTCGTTGCAACCTTGGGTTCGATAACCCCAACATTCTTCCCCCTCTCTTCTCCCCATCATCCTCTCCTACCTTTATCTCTCTTCCCCCCGCACTCTCTCACTCTCTTTCTTTCTCTTTCACTCTCACTCGTTCATTGATACTCGCATTACTTTTGTTCGAAAACACAAACTATGTCTTCTTAGGATTTTTTCCGATTTTTAGTTATGCCCGTTTGCATTTGTTTTGATTTTAATTCACATTTTCAGATATAATAGTACCCGTATTTTGATTTTATGTGTGATTGATCTTAAAAAGATTTGACAGTTTTTATTCATTATTTGGGCTTAGTTCCATGAAATTATGGGCCCAGTTTACTGAACTCAGGCGTTACGCACTTCGTTGACAATCCGTGGAAATTTCGTTGATACTACATCGAAATTTCGCTGATTCTTTTTAAAAAATTCGTTGATACTACATCGCAATTTCGCTGATTCTATGTCGAAAATTCGTTGATACTACATCGCTACATTGATTATAAACCGCTAATTCTTTGTTATTACGTTGTGTTGATACTTCGCTGACGCCTCAACGACACTTTGCCTATACATTTTACCAACACTTTCACATATCCGAGCACCTCTCGACTCTCACCGACAGACTTTGATACCTGCAACGCACGGCTCGCGTTTTTAGGACATTTTAATGCAAAAAAATATATGGCTGTTTGTGAACCCTGCCGCTCTTCTATACCATGAAGCATTAGAAGAATACAATATTGAAGCTTTAAAACATATTGGAGCATTAAAAGGAGACAATATTCTACGAGTAAAAGCATATATTAACCTCGAAGTCATTATGTAAGAGGATTAATTAACAGCATACAACATTATACTTATTAGCATCTAAATGATCATTTCTGAGTATTCATCATTAGCATGCAATATTCTGCTCATTAAAATTGAAAGAATCTATTCAGAGGATTAAAAGCATAAACAATATTCATCATTTTCATGAATTTATTTAGTATGTGAGTATAGATGTGCAGACTGCATATTTGCGCCCACTACGGTACGGTTGCTGCCATTAATTATATACTAATATAATATTGTTCATGTTTTGTTGGTAATGATATTGCTGTTGTTAATTATGACGATGATATTGTTGTTGTTGTAGTAATGATGATATTGCCGTTGTTTTAGAGGTAATGATATTGTTGCTGTTCATAGTAATAGTGATATGCTGTCGTTTGTGGTGATAACGCTGTCAAAAAATATAATGTTAAACTTATTTCTGTTAAATAGACAAATGAAAGAATCGTTGTTATCTCTCACGCAATAAAACAAAAATAAAATAAAATTTTTCTAAGCCGGTTGATAAGATTTAAAGTGATTTTGGGCAAATAAATACCTTTTTTAAATGAATTAACATGAAATAACGGATTTCAAGTGCAAAGAACTACGAGTTTTTAATTGTTAAAACAAATTAAATTAAAATCTAGTGCGAATCACCGCGCTGCTGCAGCTGCGGAGCGGCGGCCGGGTTGCGGTTGAGCAGGTTTTTAAACTGAAGGGTTAAGACGCGTACAAAACTGCGATGCCATTCGTTAAGTGATTTGTGATGCATTCCTATGCTCTCCTAGGATCTGATATTTTTCCATGGTGAATCAATTGAAATTTTTTGTCTGAGTGAAAATTGAGCATATAGTGTGAAATATATAAATTGTATCATTGGTGGAAATTATTGGTTGTATTAGAAAATGTTTATTCGATTTCTTTTATGCAGAGACCTTGGCACGTTAAACATGCTGTCTCATTTAAGTCGTAGCACTTCATGTGAGGTTTGTTTCATTGTGAGATTTTCCTTTTACATTTTGTTGTTAAATGCAAATATTGTCGTTATGTATAAAATTTACGTCACACATGAAGCCATCACACGAAATAAGTTCGTGTTTTGAATCATCGTTGGGCTGCGGCTAGTCAACTGCAGCGAGTTAGTCACAGAAGTAATCTTGTAAGAACAGGACTGCAGCTTTATTGCTTTACAACCGCAACTAATGTCCGTAACCTCCATCGCCCTAACCCTTTATACTGTAGCCCTTTACGCCTTAACCCTTTATGTGCTAACCCTTTATATTGTCACGCTTTATACGAGAAAACTCTATCCAGTCTACCCCCCCCCCTCCTCCCCCCTATCGGACCCATGTGTATCAAAATTCTGTTAATTATTTTCTTAGAAGTTCGCTGTGCTCCCAAAAGTTTTTCACCATTACGAATGCAATATTTACTTCGTATAAAAATATTTGCTGCATACAAGCAGCATGCTTGAATTTGAATAGATAATATATTCAGTAGTTCGAAGCGGTTCTAAAAAAGAGGTTTTTCTAAAAAATTGCACTCCATCAGTTTTTTCACTTCATTGCACTTCATCAAGTTCTTATATTTTAGTGTTTTTACACTTTAATTTGGGATGTAAACATACAATTGGCTTAGTTAAATTTTATTTTAAGTCTTTCTTAAATTAGTATAAAAAATATATCCACGTAATCCAGATTCTAATCTCATACAAAAATTATTCATAAAATGTCATGACGATGCATAAATTCTGAAGAACCTCTTTCTCTTCAAAAATATATTTCAGGCAGTTATCACATCGCGTAAATATCCGACAATTTGCTTTCCAAATAAAGTTTTCCCTTCAAATTTTTTCAAGCACGAGATATGATTGTTCCTTGACATCATTTAACTGAATAATTTTTACACGCGTTTTTCATTATTTGAATTTTTGTTATGTCGACGACATGCATAGGATACACCCAAGCTGACACTCGAGCTTGCAATAAAACACACATTAATTAAAAATACAAAATTAAAAAATTATTATTAATTGAAAATAAATCCTAGAAATCACACAATTCCTGTAAATATTAGAAAATACTTCTAGAAATTAGAAATTTTCTCCAGAAATCAGGTAATCGAACCAGAATTTGCTACTAAACTTTGATTGGCTGTTAAAATGAGTTTCTCATTTAATAACATTTTCAGAAACTTGAATGAGTTTGGTAGCAAAATATCGGCAAATATTCAATGTTAAACCATGAATGCATTTCTAACAATGAACAGTTTTTCATGGCAAAAATTGATGGTACTTGTTCACGGCATATCTTTCATGTAAAAATGTACTTTTTTAGCACTTACTTTGGGGCATGAATTGATGATCCAGAGTATCACAGATCAGGTGTAGCATCAGCGGATGATATTTTATGCATTGATTCAGTTGCTATCAGGACGATTATGTGATATAATCCAATGCATCTCATTCATGATAACTCATAACTAATTCTGTAACTTTTATAAGTAGTATTCATTCCTCGCATTTTGTCAAAGAATTTACCGAACTTTTCACATCCCAATGCAGAAATTTTGATTTTTTTAAACTCGGGTTAGCAGCCGTCTAGTTTTAGACCAAAACGGATTTACCGGCAGCCGTGGTAACCCTTCCATGTATTTTTTACGGTTGTTTGAGAGCACGGCAATTGAAGTGCATTTTAGACGTGGTTTACATAACTGGAGCATCGAACGCTAACGGCCACGAGATAAGTGAAGAGGTGATAGCAAAACTGATATAACTGTCTTAGGAGTTACTATGACATTACTGCAGTAATGCCATCAGCGGCTCCAGAGAAGGGTTACGTGAGAGAGCGTTCGTAGAGCCTGCAGTTTTTATGGTCAGTTTTTTTATAAAAGTGTGTCATGTGAAGCTCGTATGAAATTTGTACAACCATTTTTATGAAAGTGGGTCAAGTGAAGTTCAATTAAATTATTAAATTTGAGCAAAAGTCTTCATATGAACGGGCAATTTTTAGCTCATGTTTCGTTTGTATAAGCCTGACTAACTAAGATTTCAGAAGATGTTAACATTATAACGGTCATGTTTCGAAGCGCACTGCGCGAAATTTTCATATATAATTGTTTCACAAAACACACACGGAGTGCGGTTTACAGGTAAATAGTTTCAATTATTAATTAAAATAAGTTCGTTGTGTTGCTGCGAACTCTGAATGTTCACAAAAAATAAAATCACTTGCTTACTTTAATAGCACATTTTTCAGAAATTTAAAGTAAATGAAATGGCCCATAAATTCACCTTTTACTCTATTAAAAAACGTATAGAAGTTGAGCTCCGATACGAAAGGTAACGAAGCTGTTCGAGATTTGGGAAATTTTCTGCTAGTTAATTAATTTTTACATGCACATTAACTTTTACATGTGGTACACGCACATGTGGTACACGCATATGTGGTGCACGCACATGTGGTACACGCACATGTGGTACACGCACATGTGGTACACGCACATGTGGTACACGCACATGTGGTACACGCACATGTTGTATGCACGTTGTGCTGATTTGTAGGTTTACTTAATTTCAATTTTTTATTCGTAAGAAGGGCGTAGTTTAATTTTTCGTAATCGTAAGGAGTAAAATATTCGACTATAGCGAAGGCATCTCATATTTGGGGTGAGTAATATTCTGTTGTTTGTATAATAATTACAATATATCAAAGAACTTCCGATTGGATTTTCGTAAATTTTTTTTTTCTTATTCAATATACTGTGTCAGCTGAACAATTACTTTTACTGTTTCCCGTTAGAGTTTGTCCATCAAGCCTCACCAACGAGGTGCCTCCCCCGCCTCAATAATTTCCCTTCACTCGCGGCTTGTCCATCAAGCCTCGCTCGTTAGGTGCCTCCTCCGCCTCAATAATTTCCCTTCACTCGCGGCTTGTCCATCAAGCCTCACCCGTTACGTGCCTCCCCACGCCTCAATACTTTTCCTTCACTTGCGTCTTGTCCATCAAGCCTCACCCGTTACGTGCCTCTCCGGCCTCAATACTTCCCTTTCACTGTCCTTCAGTTTCCATTCATTAGCAAAGGCAGGTAGAAAGGAACATTCTCAGTCTCCTTTTCTTGGCTTTGGAGTTAATGAGAATTTTAGTCCTGACCCAAGATCATAAATAACCTGAAGTAGATAATGAGCTAATGACTTTTCGGTTGATAATCAGAAGCTTCTATTTGAAAAGCTTTGGGTTGCACATGACTTTTTTAGCAGTTTAAATCATACTTAATTTTATTTTCAAATGAGAATAAATTCGGATAAACCTATTTTATATATAAAGATATAAAATTATCGTTTAATTTGTACTGTTGTGTTAAAAAAAAAGTCAAGTCTCAAGTCTCTTAGTCTCAAGATCTTGAACTTCGATGAATTTGCGCTTGTAGTCAAGCGTTATCTCTGTGGCGAACGAGCTCTCATTTCACCTTTTTCGGTTCTAAGGTCTCAGTTCAGTCTTTTTTCAGTTCTAAGATCTCAGTTCAGTCTTTTTTTCAGTTCTAAGGTCTCAGTTCAGTCTTTTTTCAGTTCTAAGGTCTCAGTTCAGTCTTTTTTTTCATTTCTGAATTCTCAGTTCAGCCTTTTTAGCGCATTTTCTCATTTATGGAAAAAATGCACTATTGTGCTCGCCATGTTCGTCCGTCTGTCCGTCTGTCTGTCCGTCCGTAACTTAATGTTTTCGTCGACGAGAAAATGCGCTCTCTGTCACTCACTGCAGTGAGTACTGAGTTATATTTTTGCAGTTATGAGTTCTCAATTCAGCCTTTTTCAATTGAGTTTTAGTTCAGACTTTTTCAATTCTGAGTTCTCAGTTCAACCATTTTCCAGTTCAGAACAGGCATTTGTATTGTAATTCTACACTCCTGATAAATTACTGTGTATTTTTCATTGATAAACCCATTGTTAGGTTAAAAATATTTATTTTTAGACAACAACAATATCGTTGTGGTCTAAAGTCCGAACAATATTTTTCCTTCATTCAATCGAATCAATTTTCCTTCATTCAATATTTCCTTCATTAAATATTCGATTATTTAAATAATTTCACATGTTTTCTATTTTGGAAAAGATTCAGAAGTATGAGTGGTCAAGCCCATATGGTCAGTCCCCAGCTGTTCAGCCTCAAGTGTCGTGTTTGGTTTCCCTTTAAAAAATAAAAACTTACCTTCTTACCTTTCGATTGCCGTCCCTAATTATAAGTATTCTCAAATACCTGCAAAACTGAACTTCATTTCCACTTTAACCGCAATTTCCGCAATTTTTCCACCGCAATTTTTTTAAGCCATGTAAACAGGTGAGTTTATTTCTACAGTTAATCTCATAAGCAAAACAACAGAAAAAAATTTGCGGTCCAATAATCATTTTAGCACTTGTATTCCACTTCATTAAATAACGCGCTTTACCGTGACAGACGACAATGAGAAAACGTTCACTCGTATGAGTATACGAGTACGAGAATGACATGACCGCAAGAAGCGACAGCAGATAAATTAAAGAACTTTGAAAAGAAAAGTGGAAAACAAAAACACTAACGAGGATCTCGAAAAGTACCGTCAACCTAAAAGGTCTACAAATCCTATTCGATTTATCGAAAAAAAAACTCAAACGAACTTATTTGAAATTTAGTTATTGTATATCCCACAATAAAAAACCAATTCACACTTAAATCTCAATTATTTTTCCCATGAATTTGGACTGAATTAACCTCAATTCATCATTCAAGATTCATGACACAGTACGTGTACGGCAAGTGTACATGGTAGAGCAGGTAGAAAGGTCTGCAGGTGTATAGCTGTGTATGTATGTAGCTGTGTAGGTGTGTAGGTCTGAACCCGCATTCTAAATACAACCAAACTTACTCAGCCTTTTGTTGTGTGGCCAAATATCTCAGCTTCTATTAAAACATGCGTTTTATGGCTGGAATTTTATGGAATGATAATTGAAAATCTAATTACTTATTCAATGATTTAACTTTTGAAAATTGAAAATATGGACTAATTAACAACTTAGTTAAAAATGTCTTACCATTAATGTTAGATTTTGTCCCAAAACATTTCAGCTACAGAAGAAAAAAGCATTTATCAGTTAAAATAACTGTCTGATATAATGGTTGATTAATCAGAGTTTTTAACCTTACCTTTTCATTTAACGGTTTCGTTAGGAATATTAATTAACGTTATTAATGACAGAAAAAATAAGAACAGTGAATGGGATTGATGTTCTGGATAAATGGCCTCATGCTTATGTCATAACTTCATGTCACGTAATAGTCATTTCTGTGTAATAAATTAACGATTATAGCTGCATATGCAGGTATGAAAAACGCATAAAAAATTACATGATTATGCGGAATTAATTGATAAAATGGCCTAATTACATAATAATCAAGATTAATGGAACAACATGGGCTGTTGGTACAATATGAAAGTTGATGATAAATCGAACATTTTTTCGGGCTGATCAATGCAGATCAATGTTAGCATACGTTCACATTGTTCTGATCAATGTGGGTCAACGTTCGTATTACGCTGATTACTGTTAATCACTGTTTCCATCGAGCTGATAAATTTTCAGTTATGCTGATCATACCAATCAATGTTGTCATCATGTTGATTGGAGGTGATCAATGCCCAAATGAGGCTCATATAAATATGGATCGACGTTCGCAAGATGTTAATCAGTATCAACATGATGTTGTTAAGAGATGTTAATCCAATGTTGTTAATCCGTTACCAAGATATTAATCCAATTATGCTGAGATATTGATCATTCTGATCAATAATTTCATCATGTTGATCAACATTCATTAATGTTATGTTCCTGTTGGTGAACATTTATCCATTAAGTTAAATTCACAGTTAAATGAAACAACAGAAATTATCAGGATTGTAACCATTGAGGATTTTAAAGTCCATTTTCCATAGGACGCCTTCCTCCATCCCGCCACCTTATCAAAAAAACTATACGAAATTGAAACCAAAAAACAGAGCATGAAAACAGGGGAAATTTTTTCTGCCTGAAATTCGAGTCCAGCGTTAAGGGAGGAGAAGAACACCAGGGTGCCGATGTCCAACTGCTTGCGTACAACGAAAATATCGTTGATTTATTATAGTGTTTATCAAGAGGGGCACGTTTTGGAATTTAAAGCATAGTCAATTTATGATGGAAGATGCATTTTTTACTTGTCTTTTAAATGCAGCTGGCCGGAATGAGTTAAAGACGATAAGGGACGTCTCTGGATGACTATAAGGACAGCTCGGGACTACTCGAGACGGCTAGGGACGGTTTGGGACAGCTAAGGACTGCTATAGTCGGCTCGGGATGGCTAAGGACAGATCGAGACGGCTCGGAACGACTGGGATGGCTTTTGACATGTTAAGACGGCTTGAAACGGTTTGGGACTACTCGGGATGGCTCGGGACAGTTAGGGCAATATGGGACGGCTCGATACAGCCAGGGCAAGTCGGGACGGCTCGAGACAGCTAAGAAAATATGGGACGGCACGGTACGGCTTGGGACAGCTAGGGCAAGCCGGAAAAGCACGTGACGGCTTGGGACGGCTCGGGACAGCTAGGGCAAGTCGGGACAGCTTGGAATAGCTATAGGGCAAGTCGGGACGGCTCGGGACAGCTAGGGCAAGTCGGGACGGCTCGGGACAGCTTGGGACGGCTTGGAATAGCTATAGGGCAAGTCGGGACGGCTCGGGACAGCTTGGGACGGCTTGGAATAGCTATAGGGCAAGTCGAGACATCTCGGGACGGCTCGGGACGACGTAAACAAGTGCTGTAGGTCAGGAAATGGTAACAAGGCTCATGCACGAGGTCACTGCCGGCATTTCCCTTCCAGCCTCAATGGGTCTTCCAAATTTTTGTCTTAAACAATTTTTTGCCTTTGGTTTTTCACGTTTTAGGAGTCGGCGTTCTCGATGTTTCAAGTTTTCACTTAGCGATTTTTTCATAAGTATTGAAATAGTCTAATTTTTTTAGTTCTTAGGCACGGAGTAAACCTGATTATAGGTACAATATTTTTCGAATGAAATTAAAATTGATTTCTCAGCGTTGTGCGGCATCCGATTACAAATGAGCAGATCAGTTATTCTTAAATTAAACATGAGCTTCATCCCATTATATTGAACATGTGTTAAATATGCCAAAGATATGGCACATTATTGAAATTTTAAATGACATGTCCAGAAATTATTAATTTTAAATTTATAGTTCCAGTCCTGCTTTCGGAAAGATAGTAAAATCTCGTACGCGGGTATGTGCATACATTGTTTCGTTCTTTATTGGAGCTTCTAGCTGTTAAATGTTCTGTTTATTGTATGATTATTTATACATTTTTAACTGGTAGATCCTTATTCAACTTTTAAACTTATTTTTCCACTTCCATGCAGTCAATTCTTTGGCTAACTGATGTCTTAATTTTACTTGATTTTTGAAATCGTTGCCGCCTTAAACAGCCAGCCAAGCTAAAAATTGTAATGCGGCGCACA